TATGCACTCGGTAATTATAAGCATTTACCTCAAGAAATTAAAACATTCATTTTAGGAAGCATATTGTTTAATATGAATATCGAAATAAAAGAAACTGTGTTGGAGAAAGTTTTATTTTTACTTAAAAGGGGATTTAATGACACACTCGGGACTAAATCACAGAGGAAGCGTAACTTATTGACACAACTCATTAGTGTAACAAAACACACATGCGTAAATTCATTGTCGCATCTGTCGATTTGTCGTTTTACAATTAACATAACAGACTATAAAAATTCTAAGTTGAACATCTAGTCCCCTTCCTTTACGTTGCGCGTTGATTAAATTACCCTACACTGTGGTACGTTATGGGCTGATGTATAAAAAGGACTCCCGACGCGGTTAACAAAGCGTAAAGAAGTTAAGCTAATGTTAAACGACGCCTATCTTTTGTGGCTAATGCGTGATGGATGCTGCGTAAAATGCAGTAGAAACGAATAATAAAAATAAACATAATCAATCGCTCAGGGTGACACACAATAGCCTCATATAGTCCAGTAAATATGGACAAGTAATTGAAATATAGTCCGTATCTTGATTTTGAATAAAATTGACTTTTATGAATAATGAAACCAGTGAGACCCTTATAAAGCACAAAGCTTTTAATACCATTGAAATAGAAGCCATCTAATTCAAAGCGGGATAATGATATCGTTAGCGGAAGTCCAAAGAGCATAATAAGTACCTTCAAAACAATTTTTGTATGTTTTAACCTAAAGCGAGATTGCTATCGGCATTGTGCGCCTTAAATATAGATGTCGTGCTACTTCGGCAGTTTTATCGGTAAGGGATATCTCCAAAAGTTTTTTATTTTTCTTTTACGCCTCAAAGGAATACCGATCAGATATTGCAAGTTTGCAAACTAAATCTTTTTGTGTTTATTTAGTAGCGTCCCCGTGCAGCGATACGTCTTATTGAATACTGATAGATGCTAACCGTTAAATTTATTTCTTGGGTAGTTGTTTTTAACTTATAACGTTATATATTGACCTGGAAATAAAATATCATTCATTGTAACTATTTGAACCAAGAAGTAACAATTTTTTGCGTTTTACTAATATCGGATAACAAAGCTGACCAATTAAGATAACGGAGGTACAGAAAAATATAATAAAATATGTAAATTTTAGTTTATTTTAAATATTTATATGGAAGATAGGAACGCTGTACAATTATTTAAGTTCGTTAATTATAGTGCTGAATCTAGTTATTTACTTTTTTAGTTTTACTTATTTGACAGTTAAAAGTGCGAGTAATATACATCTAGTTGTCTCATCTGTCCACGCGCCAAATCAACAACAAACCGAGAAGAAAATGTGTCACAACTGTCGCTCCAGGTTTCAGTAAACTTTCTCAAGAATATGGCTACAACTGAGAACCAACTAAACTTTGCAGTTGCAAATGTAGTTTCTCATTCTAAGCAACTCCGTGTAAAGTTCAAATTGCAGCAACATTAATTTTAAAAACGGAATAGAAATTCGAGCGTTGTGGAACGTAACTTTGTCCTCATTCCTTGCAGGTATACGTCGGACCCTATGAAACATGAGACAGTGTCAACAATTTGTCCCTCCATGCATTAGTAGAACGCCTTACAAGACAAACACTGTAAACTCACGAATTTCATATTATACTAATACCTTCGTCCGTTGGAAACGGCTAATTCCGAACACATGTGCTGAGCGTGTTAGATTTTTTGCGCCGTGAACTTTAAGTGCTTTTTCATTTGCCGTGACATTTCATTGCCTGTTTTATTTCTGATATGCTATTGGAGAATAATTTATAATGTGTGTTTAGTATTTGGTGATTCTATTGACGCACTTTGAACTCAATGATTGAGCAGTGAATTATTTGAGCAGCTACTGATTTAAAACTTTCTTGGTCAAATCAAGTACAGCTAATTAAGCAATAATGTCTCGACAAGCAGACAGGCCTTTAATAACTTCATCAGTTTCGAATGGCGAATAGGGTTGCAAAATTGAACACGTGTTCAAAAATTCGAATAACATGATTGCCTCCTGAGGGAGCCAATCATTGCTATTAGAATTAGATATTCGCAATTTAGATCTATATCAAGTTACTGAGGGTGACATTTGTGAACAGGAGAAATTTCTCATTTGCGATAATTTACAAACTTTAATGTTGAGAATTAAAAAAAAAACATATAATTATATTGGTGCTTGTCTGAGGTTAAGTTTTGGTATGTTAATATCATTACAAAATCAAGTCTTAAAGCTCTTGTAGACACTGAGCGATTATCAGAATTACTTATGTAGTATTTTAAAAGTCATGAGATGGTGGCATTGTATCTTCGAAAAGAATCGGTGCTATAGGTATCTAATCCTAAAGTCAGTAAGTATTATTGATTTCTTATATTTTCACGCGCACTATCCATAAATGAAACAACTTTTAAACGTCAATAAAAAAATACAATCGCGATGGAACCGTTTAAAAGTTGCTTCATTTATCAGTAGGTATTTATAAAATATATATTTTAATATAGCATCTCAATAGAGTTAGTATCAGATGCCGATTGAAATCTTAACATCCTAGAAAATTTATCAGTAGTCATCAAATTAGTAAATCAAAAAGGATTTTACAGTTGTTTGAAATTATAATTTGGTATAAATACATATATGAACATCTAAATAAAACAGATACATTAAGAAATAAACCTAGTGTTTGCGGCGCAGCGAGTTCATGTGCAAAGTACGAGTAAATATATTTTAAATGTGCTGTTCACAAAGTCAAGAGCTATCAATTTCAAACCGGCAAAAACCATAAATATTTTTAAAGGAGATCCTTTCATTCCGTGAGGCGGTGGCCGCGTTACTATCGAAGTTAAATGTGAAACTCGTGTCGCCATAACTGTTTTTTTTTATTTATTTTTTCTCGAAACGCGTGTCAACATGTGCCAGTATTATAAATTAGCAGGGGACAGGGGCACCCTTGCAAACTTTTTTTATACTTAGATTTTGAACAATAGCCCGTAACTACTCGCTTATGCGTGAGAGTTGAAAAATCACTCCCTTCGGGCGATGGCGTAGGCGAGCTGCAGTTGTTTGCAACGCATGCAGTTCATCATTAAGCTAAATTATTATTACTAAGCAGTATAGGTCCGCAGTAACTCGCTCAACTCTTATTCAAAATTTCGCTTTCAATATTATTCATACTTTTCGATACAAAAAAAACAATATCTGGATACATTAAGAATTTGTCGTCTGGAATTATTTCGCTGATAATTGTTTTAATCTTACAAATCATTCAGGATTTAAAACATCGGTTTTTGATATCTTTATGTTATTGTTTTTTACCTTATATACTTCTATATATTTATTAGCTTTCCAACAGCACCTTCGCCTGTAAGTCCTGTATTATACTTACATATAAATACTTCTTCTGGAATAACTCTTTATATTGATAAAATCGTATTAAAACACATTATATAGTTTAAAAGATCTCAAGCGTGTAGACAGCGGGGAACAACTTTACTTTATACCATGTATTTAAGTATTTAATTAGGTAAGACTCTAAATAACAAAAGAATTAAAGTTTATTTAATTACCTGCACCTACAGTTAACCTAATATCATTACAATTTTTTTCTGCAGATACTTGTTGATTTAAATAATTCATTTCAGTGGAGAAGACGATATCAGATAAATCAAGATACAGTTTTATTTATCAGAAAACTGTGCAATAAACCGAGTTTTATATCCGATAAAGTAACTCATCGAGATCAACATCGTCAATGCTTTATGTTCGACGCAATCTGCTGAATCTTATTTTTATGTCATTTTGCTTAGAACAACTATATATATCTATCTAGTTATGATAGCTTCAACGTTTTGAATCTCTTTATTATATGGCAATAAGGATCATGATTGTTTGGCAAGTATCACAGTCAATCTGCTGTAAACGCAATGATATCATTGGTTAAACGTGTATACTACGGTGCTTTTTATGACAGTGACACTTAATTTATTAATGCCACACTATCCGAATGGACAATATTATTTTGTTATCAAGAATAGGGATACCACAAAATTTTGTATATTCGTCCGTCACGTAGATTAACGAAAATATTAAATATGCATTTTTTTTTGCGTAATCAATAAATGCCAGCGATAGATTGAGTTGAAATGTTGCTCGACGTCAAGCTTTTGTACATTTTCTCAAAACTGTGACGTAAGAGCCCCCACTCTTCAAAGTTGAATGTGCCTATTGGCTAAGCCATTTCTTGTTTGAATTGAAACAAAAAAAAATATGTATATAATATTTTTCTATTATCTGACTGACTGACTAAATAGAATTCCTTTTTTTTAACCAAGTCGTCATCCTTATTATATTAATTCCTGTAATGTTGAAAAGTATTGTTATTATGTATTCCGATCGCGGTTCCGTCTCCGTGAAATTAGATTTTTTGGCGATAAAAAATATCTGATATCCTTTCCCAAGGTCCACTTTATCTGTGTACTAAAATTCATTAAATTTAGATCTGTAGTTTAGCCGTGAAAACGTAACAGACACACAGACAGTTTAAACTTCCAAGTTTATAATATGTTTAGTATGAACTAAATGACTATTGACCTAAACTACTGATTTATTTTGTTTTTAAATCATTATGATTTTCATAAATAATTGTGTCTTCTGCTACCTTCCACGAACTTTTAATCGTTACATACATATAGTAAAACTTTGGTGAGATAAAATTATCTAGGTAGTAATTAATTTTCAAGTTTTAAATCTATCAATTTTAAGTAAAATAACAATAAAAACATAGATACACTTTTACGTCTTTAATACATAGGAAGCAAACTAATCCCTGCACGGCATTATGTCTGAACTTGTTAATAGAAAACTATGGAATAGATTTTCATGTGGGTTTCAGCAACGGATAGCAAAATTAACCTTTCTTGTTAACGAAGATCATATTGCATAATTCATTGGGATTGATTAAGAAGCATGGATTATGAAGATATTGGTAAAAGCATGGCGACTGATATACACTTAGGTAATTATAATTAGTTCACATTTTACAAAGCAAAATAAAAATATATACAGTTAAACCAACTCTTATTACATATAATTTATTATATATATATACACCATACGGTAAAATAATGTATTTTTAGTACATACATAATATTAATATTTAACATTATATAATTTAAATTATACAAAATTCATGCAAGCTTATAATAAATAATTATTATTAGATTCGCCTATAACGAAGTAAATTGCAAAAAACTTTCAAAATATGGGAAATAATAAATACGGGGGTCTCTGCACAAAAATCGAACGATAGCAAATCGAATGGAGATTCAATTATAGATTAGCCCTTGTATCGTACCGCATCCACAACGTTGGGACACGTGAATAAATAAACACAATTACTTTGTACAATAGACTGATCCCTATTGATTTTACGTAGAAATAAAACCTTGTCCCTAAAATGCAGTCATGGTCCGTCTAGATGGTTCATTTTTGAAAAAATTGACACAGCATATCATTTTTTTTACTGATCGGTTTTAACGTCGCTATAATAATAGTGAAGCCCAACAATAGACATACATCAATTCGAGTGTCAAAAACTAACATCTGCGCGTTTCGTTGTAAACAGAGTAAAATGGGTACAGGGGCCCGAAACAGCAACCTTGGGGGACTCGTGTTGCAGAAAGCCTGTGTTTATGGTTCATTATTGTGCACCGTATTTGGAATAGCTGCAAATGACATACTCAACCTATTATTAAAATAAACCGTAGTTCAAGCCTTTTGTTAAGTAAATTTAAAATAATGCTGGCGGGAAATTGCAATGGGTGGGTCCATGCAAGACCGTGCCTCGCCTTTTATTAGACGTGAGCTTTAACACGCTAACTGCAATCGCCACTTGAACTGCCGAGTGTTTACATGGTAATCAATACATTGCATAAAGGGTTGTGATAAACAGTCGTATTGTCAACAGGTTACGTTGAGGGTGGAATAAGCGATGACTACATCGGCAGTGGAGAGGCCCCGTACATCATTGAACAACCTTTAGATGTCACCGTGGCTCGACATCAGCCTGCAACTCTCAACTGCCGTGCAGGTGGCTCTCCGACTCCCACTATTCGGTGGTACAAGGCGGGGCTGTTGGTGGTATCCGATACGCACAGAAGTCTGTTGCCAGCAGGCGGATTGTTCTTCTTGAGAGCAACTCATGGAAGAGCTCATTCAGATGCCGGAGTTTACTGGTGTGAAGCCACAAACCCTTTCGGTACTGCTAGAAGTAGGAATGCAACACTACATGTAGCCGGTAGGTATATGTTTTGTTTTTTGCATTCACATTATTTTTCTTAGAATGCATTAGAGAACTTGCGAAATTGGTTTATCGTAATTGTTTCATGATTAAAAACTTTCTTTTACCGTCATTTTAGTCCTACGTGAAGAATTCAGATTAGAACCGGTATCTACACAAACAGCACAGGGAGAAACTGTAATACTCGAATGCTTGCCTCCAAAAGGTTTACCAGAACCATCTGTGTTCTGGAAGAAGAACGGACAAATACTTCATTTTGATGGAGATTCTAGGTAAATATATTTGTGTCAATATAGATTATACAAATAGTGATAATTACACAAAACAATTAAAATAAAGATACTATTAATAGATCTAAACAAATCTCAATAGTAGTTTTGAATAAGAACAACATTTCTAAATAATGTATACAAAAAACCATATTATAATCACATAATAAAAAATTGTTAAGTAAAAAAATATACAATTTTCGAATAGAAATAAAATGCCAATTCGAATTCTCTTAGTTATAGCACCGTAGGCAAAATCTAACAAGCTCAGGAAGAGGTGGTGAAACTTTGCCTTAGCCGAATTCAAGGGTAGGTAGAAGATGAGTGCTCTCGTTGAGCTAAGTGGGATGGTGGAAACTGGATAGTACTGTGAATTGCTTCCCTGAGCCCGTTTGATATCTGATATAGTCTGTGTGCTAAATTAACATGCAGACTTATACTGCAAAGTTTTAACTTTTATAGTGGAATAAACACGTCATTAATATGATGGTACGCAATTTGATTATGTAATTAGCTAACGTTCGATACTATTGTTCACTTCATGCAATTTTTTTTATCTTGTATTGTTTTAGTCATAACATAGATAAGTAGTTTAATATTTTGTAAATATTTATAAAACTTTTGTGACAATTTTCATAAAAAGGTAATAACTTAAATTAAGCCACCGTTGCCGAAATAGGTACAGACATCATAAAGTGCCCTAATATCGCCATAGACTCAATTTATTTTTCAATCTAACTTCATAATATAACTGTTTGTGTATTTTTATAGATAGATAATTTAATTATGAACTAAATCAAAAATGAATTTGTGTGTGTATAAGTGTGTTTAAAATTACCAGTGAAATGTCCGTAATGTAAGTTGAGAGGCATCAATTTCTATACACTCACTTCTATTGTTCGATAATATGAAGTTGAACTATTTCGATAATATTAAATAAGTCGTTTATATTTCAGTATTTAAAACAAACAACGAAGTGTAAACACGTTGAGATTGAATTTCTGTTAAAAGTTATATTGGCAATTTATTTCACTTCGATCCTATGAATTTTTATGAGTCTTAACTTACATCTTGAGGGCGCGCTGTTACGTATGGTGATGCATAGAAATAATTAACAATCGTAGGGAGGGTACATCAAAGTACAGAGAGAGGGTTTTGAAGTGCACGACAAGCAATCAAGTAAAAATCTGAATAGTTCTGATTCACTGCGCCCCTTATTAAATGTTAATTTCCTATTCAATTATTCCGCCCCACATTTCAATGACTTTTGTTACATTGCAATTTCCAACGTTCATAATGATTTTTTTATAGTTTTATTTCCACATACGTGTTTTTTTTTCAAAATAACTATTGATACAAATAAGAAATGTAACACTAGCAAATTTGTTTACATTTCACATAGAATGAGAGCTTTTGCTAAGTAACAAATTGCAAAAGCATCAATTTTAAAAGGTTACAGCCTTTATTTTATTAAGGACTAATACCTTAATTGGTATTGTAATGAGTGATGTCTCATTCTGTCTAGAATGCACCTGGTAGACGGAGGCAGTCTTGTTATCCAAGACGCGAGGCAAACCGATGCGGGCCGATACCAATGCATTGCAAGGAATGCGGCGGGTACCAGGGAATCTGCAGTGGCCACGCTCAAAATACACAGTGAGTTGTTCGCATTGAATGCATGCATACGATGAATTGAGAGATATATAAGAAGTACATCTGCGTCAAATTATGTTAAACAAGCATCTTCTATTGTTTGATTCAAGTTTCTTTGTGATTATGGCATTTAACGAGGTTTTCTTATAAATGTTATCCGTTGAGTAGGATTGAATAAAATATTTAATTGTTTTTCGTTATTGAGCTTGTAGAAATTCTAACGAGTTTTTCCTAAAATAAACTAAGTTGGATTTATATATTTGTATTAGCACTCCTTTGTAATATACAGAAATAGTGGAAATATTGTGAAGTCAATTTTAGTTTCACAGGGAGTGTAAAATTCATAGTGAATTCTAGACATTCATATTTCACTTCACAGGGAGTGTAAAATTCATAGTGAATTCTAGACATTCATATTTCACTGTAGAGTTATATTCGTAAACGTACAAATTTCAGCACTAATTTGACGTTGAATGGTAGCGTTGTCTTTTGTCGTGTTATTCAAGGGACATTTCTCGTTGTACAGTTAAGCCTTACTTAATCACGGGCCCCGAGGACGTCGTGGCACAGACTGGCGGTAGCGTGACGTTCCAGTGTCGAGTGGGGGGAGATCCCCTCCCAGATGTATTGTGGAGGAGGACAGCTGGAGGTGGAAATATGCCTCTTGGTCGAGTTAAGGTTCTTGATGATAGGAGTTTACGATTAGACCATGTTATTTTGGGAGACGAAGGAGAGTACACATGCGAAGCTGATAACTCAGTTGGCGCTGTTAGTGCAAGTGGTTATCTAACAGTATATGGTAAGTTGTACATATATTACGTATATTATAAGTACTATGAAGTTCCGAATGTTAAAACAGTAATAATTGGTAACTGAAATTAGTAAATTCATATTATTCCTAATGAAAAATGCTTTAAATCCACTTTATCCCTGTTGCTCTGAGCTGGGAATCGAACTCACGACCTTTCGTAATCCGGGAGACTGCTCTAACCATTGAGCTACCCAGGACCTAACAGGGCTGACGAATTTTTCAAGCACTAGTTATTTTTTCGCTATTACAGAGCGTATTCTCATCGATCAGGAAATCCACCAAAACAGCCGAAAGAAATATTCTTACAAATATTTTAAACTTTAGATTAAGTCGAAAATTTGTTTTTGTTATAATATTTGATCAATTTTTCATTCACAATCTATAATACTTATAAATGCTTGAAAATTCCACTTTATCCCTGGTACGAGGATTCGAACCTTTGAAAAATGTATTAAATACAATAAATTCATTTTATGTTATAATAGTGGTATTTTATTTAGCTACAACCTTTTAGGTAACAATTTCCACTTTAATTATCAATACAAAGATTAAATTAGTTATTATTACTTTGTGTGAAATATAGATGCAGTTATTTTTTAAGTATTTTTTTTTATTGAATCATTTATTGATTTGAAATATTTTATTTTAGATCCACCGTCAATTATGTTAAAACCTAATGTAGTGATCGTAGAGAGTGGCTCAACAGTATCATTCACATGCACGGCTTCTGGGAGACCTGAACCGACAATGTTTTGGAGCTTAGAAGGGAATAGAACTATTATTTTTCCTGGTACAACGAAGGATAAATATTACGCGTCGCCAGTTCTCGATGGAGTTACTATTCTAACAATCAACGTTACAAATAAAAATGATAGTGGTAATACTATAGTTTGTTCGGCGGTCAACTTCGCTGGCAGTTCGTTTGTTAGAGGGAAACTAAGCGTGACGTCAGACGATGACCGTCCGCCGCCAATCATAACAAACGGACCCTCTAACCAAACGTTACCTATAAAATCGATGGCCGTTTTCCCTTGTACAGCAATCGGTACACCTGAACCAATCATCGCTTGGTATTTTGAAGGGGAAGCATTAATACAAAATCATAGAAGGAATGTATCTAATGACGGTACCCTAATATTAAAAGATTTAGATAAAAGCGACAGTGGCACTTATACTTGTGTCGCTTCATCTCCACACGGCAAATATGTATGGAGTGGGAGTTTATTAGTAGATAGCCCTATAAATCCAAATATACATTTTTTTCGAGCCGCGGATGTATCAGCTTTGCCAGGACCACCAACAAAGCCTCAAATATATAACGCAACTGAAACAACTGTAACATTAACGTGGAACCAAAATAACAAAATTGGATCGTCTTCCATACTTGGATATCAAATAGAAGTGTTTTCCCGAGAGACCCTTACTGGGAACAACACACCGAGAAATTCTAGAGGATGGGTTGTGCTGGCAAAAAAGATTCATGCAACACAATATGTGGTGAAATCACTTATTCCGGGAATCACTTACATGTTTATTGTGAGGGCTGAAAATTCTCACGGCTTATCAGGACCTAGTCCGACATCTGATTCTGTTACAGTCGGCGAAGATACTAACGCTTTGTGGGAATCGGGTGTGTTCTCTAATAATACTGAATTCAGAAATAATATTTTGACTGACAACATTGTCGAATTGATAGAAGCAACTCCAATTGATTCTAAAACAATAAAACTAATGTGGGAAATTCTGAATTTCTATTATTTGGAAGGGTTATTCATATATTACAGGCCGTTAGACAATACGACGGTTGAATATGAGATGAAAACTATTTTACATTCCAATGATGTCTCCGGATATGAAATAACTTTTTTGAGAAAATATACGAAATACGAATTTTTCCTTATTCCCTTTTATAAAAAATTTGAAGGAAAGCCATCTAATTCAAGAGTGGCTCAAACTTTAGATGATGGTAAATATATTGATCTTTAACATGTTAATTCGTTGTGGTAATTATTAGATTACTGATTTACTTAAAATTTTGTTTTATTTTCAGTGCCCGATGGTCCACCGATGAATATAGAGATGTATATTCTGAATACGACGACAGTTCATTTGAAATGGTCCCCTCCGGAATTGCATTTACAAAACGGTATAATTACTGGCTACAATGTTGTGGTGAACTGGTTGGACATCCCTGCAAACAAATCGATGGTGGCTATAAACACGACTGTACAGCAAGCTACTAGTCTTATTATGACAAATTTGACATCCGGTGTAAGCTATTCCGTGCAAATAGCCGCTGAGACGATAGTCGGATTAGGTCCATTTAGTCAAAAAGTCTATCTCAACATTGATTCACGATCTGTCGGATTGGATCCTTTGTCGAGGTAATAAATAAATTCACTCTCAATCCCAATACATTTAAGTAAGACAGTTCGCAGAAAGTAAATGTCATTTATAAAATACTTTTATTTCATTTCAGATATCCAATAAATGGGGAAGTGTCTATAGTGGCTGGGGACTTTGTAATGGAAACATGGTTTTACTTTTTGATAGGAGCTATCATTCTGTTCAAAATAATTGTGATTGGCGGCATTATTTACGTAAGGAGGAATAACATATTTACCAAAAAGACTGCTTTACCAAACATTTACGGTAAGTTAAGTACTTTTAGACTGTTTGTATATTGTAATCTTTTACAGTTTAGTAACTAACTTTTGACAACCTACAATTCAACTTATTCATATTATGTTTATAAGAAAATTATTTGCTTATATTGGAATTAAGTGTATCCGTGTAGAGACAGAAGATAACAAGTCAAAAACAAACAATTACACAGCTTATCTTGAAATGCTTACATTTTTTCCGTGGAATCAGCATCAGAATTTCAAAATTAAAAACATTCCTCGGGTGTGGCGGGGTGGCTGGGTGCGAGCGTTTGTTTGATGGAGGCTTTGCCATGCGACGGGGGAGGGGTGCTAGATTACTTTCGAGTTGAAAGGTAGCACGAGCCCTCTCTCGTGAGCGCAGTGGATCTCTTTCACTTTGCATTCACGTTCAGGGTACAAAGGAATGATACAAATCCGAGAAATAAAGACCCAGTAAATGTAAATGTTTTCTGTTTTGTTTTCTTGAGGCGATTCGTTTGTCGACTCATCTAGTTACCTTTAAGCCAATTTAGCTCGCTTTCTTTGAAATGTTCTGTATTTACATTTTTAAGCCTTTGGTAAACAAGGTTATTTGCATTGAATTTATGTAACTGATGCTGTTAATGGTTATTTAAAGAAATTAACAGCTATCGTAATTGAAGTCGCTTTTGTTCAAGATTCTAATGGAACGAGTTTAGTCACGCAAATGAACATTAAGGCTGCTGTGTCGCTGTCACATCCACTGAGCAGCTGTTACAACAAGAACACTGTGACTAAAACTGAGTCATTGTTATGGATGGAGAATCAACCTGGATTATGTATGTCCGGTAATCAAACAACGCAAGGGAAGGAGAAGGCTAATTCCGAGTACGACAAGGTCACCCCACAATTACCTGAATACGCAGAAGTAACATCTTCAAGAGTTAATGGAAATGAATGGAATACAAGTAAAACAGCAAATTCACCCGCTGCGTATGCGTCTGTTACTTTAGTTGCTAACACGAGACAATGTGTTAGTTCTTTGGTGAGTATTTTAAAAATTTCTTACAAGCATAATTTAATTAAATTTAAAAAAAATGTTTCTAGTGTAATATATATAAACTAATGTTATAAAAAGGAAAGATTTGTTTGTAGTTAATACATTATAATATTATCAAAGCTTACCTACCAATAGTTTACGTTTAATATTTATATTTAGGTGAATTAATGTTAATTTTTAAGTACTCATAATTATTTTTTCAACAGGGCTGGTTTCCCCCTGGTGGAAAGAACGTTGATAATTTCGACAACCGGTATGCACCTGATGAGGAGCTTTACCCAGCGAGCAATGGAGGCTATTACAATAGGAACGTATATAGCGAAAAATATTTTCAAGGGCATCCCAACGTGCTAAAGTTCTATGACTTGCCTTCTTTAGAAAAATCACAGAAAGCTCAGTTGAGATATAATCCGAGCTTAGATGACAGAAAAGGCGACGCAACAAAGACTGAAGCAGCACAATCACTGATTGGCCGCACATACGGTGTGAGCTCCAGAAAAAACTCTGAATCCGAGACGACCTACAGAGCTTTCGCGGAAGATGAATCAGATGATGAGAACTATACTGAAGATGGTGGTTATGATGAATTACATGCGATGCAGTCGCAGCGAAAAAGGTCTCAGCATCAATATGAGAGACCCAATTTTGACAACGATAATGCAAGGACATTGGCAAGGCTGACGTCGTTCAGACGTGGCCAGAATTCCAATGGAGCTTCTCAAACGTCTCTTGCGCCAACGCATGCACCTCCAGTACCAAATTCCCGAGTTGACTCAGTGACACGGTAGTATCACGCATTGCCGGCTTTCGGCGACTTGTGCCAAACGGACGTTTAGACATAATGACCATTCTATAGTGTAGTGGTGTCACTTAAAAGATCGCAGTTCTTCCTCACGTTATTATACAGTGTCGGTGTTTTTAATCGTGTAGAGAATTTCGGTTTTATTATATGTGTGCACTTCGGCCTCTTAACTGATAGGTAATGATATTTTTATCTAGGGCCTAAAAAATTCCTAAACGCACATTGCGATGATTTATTTTACGCACAGTTTATTGTATTCTATTTTATAAAGTGTAAATTTATTCCTAGTCGTTGTACAGTGTAAATATTGTAAATATAATGTAGACGTAATTCAATAATATCAAAGGTCTGAATTGGTAACGTGTTAACTTATTAATAATTATTATAATGGTCAAAGTATGTATTATTGGGATTGGATAGAATTCAATTGATATGTCCGTCTGAATATCAATAAACGAATTTTTATCTCTAATTATTATCATTAGATTAGGGAGAAACAATCTGAAACAAATTAACGCTTGGCAATAAATTAATGTAAAATATTAAATTAATCATTTTAGGTCTTGTACATAACTAAAGTAATTAATTAAGCTTAGCCTCTATAAATTTATCGAATTCTTATTTTTTTTAATGAATACTTTGCCTAACTTAATCTACTATTTCATTTTAGAGGTATATTTATCTAATTTTTATATATAAAATTAATTTCCTAGATTATATTTTAATATTTAATAAAAAAAATATCAGTTATCGTTTACTTTATTGTGCCATAAGAAGGTATTGATAGTTGTAACTTAATCAAATATAAAGTAACATTGGAGTTGTGAAATGAAATTCAAATAAAATCTTTTACAAATCTAAAGTTATAATCTACGTAATGTAATGTGATATGAATTGAAGTATGTATAGCCACTTGTTATATCGAGTAAATAGCACAAACTTGTATAATTGCATATCATGTATATTAGAATTATTAATACCGGTTAAAAAATCCTAAGTAATGTTGAAAAAAGAAAAAAGGTTACACGCTGTAAAATTTATCGATAGATATCCGATTAAGAAATGATTACAACTAAATAAAATAGTATGTTCCGTACCTACAGTGCTTATATTAAATTTCTAATCATAATGTAGATGTCTATTGTGGAAGGGTCAAAAACAGTATTAAACAGAAAATTTTAAATAGTCCATATGGAAATAAAGCTTCAATAGCTAGTATAAATTCTCGTCTATATTATACGGACTTCATGAGAGTTAATATCCTTATGAAGTAACATAATCATAAAACGTTATTACGTGCAGTAATCTGAACTCGTTTCGAATGTTAAACTTCAAAACTGGCATATTTCGTGATATTTCGTGTGTAACCTTTTTGTGATTATTCCTAATGTTGTTTTTGTAAATATGTCTTCGACGTTGACTGCCTTTTTATACTTGACGTGAAACTAAAATTATTTGTATTCGACATATAAAATACTTGCTTTCTCTTCATTTTAATACGTGCCATATTAAATGTAGAAATCATTATTACGTGTCACTCCACAGAAAACTATGTTGTTTCAGCATATACAATTTTCATAATACTTAATAGAGAAAATTAATGCAAAGCAATAATGTAGTAATTGGTAGCCGAAGAAATATTATTCATTAAATTGTAGTGCCATAGTTTCGTTCATATATTTATTACAAGTTTTATTGAATATCATTACATAGAAGGTATTACTTACCGCTAAAAGGGCAAAGTACGAATGTTTACCTACGGTGTCGTTTCTCAGTATCTAGATTTCACGAACCACTAATTAGCCAAAAATAAATAATAAGTATAACGAACTTCTAATTAAAGTACAACCACATGCCCCTTATTAATTAAATATTATTAATTTTTCCACTAAACAGTTACCGTAATGCATTTTTCAGTGAAATTTCTGAGTCTAAGAAATGGAAACGTTATGAGTTCCTAGAGTTTGATACTCGAGACTAGAGTTTCTCCAATTAGGGTTGATAGGAGAAACTATGACCTGCAGATAGCCTGTATACGCCGAACTCCCAGAAAGCTATGTCATAAATGGTTCTGTTAATCTACAAATATTAATAAAACTAATTGTTGTATAAGATAAGAAACACCAAACGTATCTAAAAACCACATTAGTATGGCCTATTTTTGTGTGCAAAATAACAATAAAATAGCTGAATAATGGAAACAATAAGTCAAAAATCACTGTAATACTGATTTTAATTTTTGTATTAGTTTTTGACAACCTATTTTTAATAAAATAATTTGAACTATGAATTCAAGCTGTGTTTTATTACATACCCTGTTTCATGAAAAGTATAAATTCCTAGAAATATTAATTAATGTAGATATAGTACCAACACAGAGCCACCAGAATTGTATCTTTCGAGAAATAGGGCTCAAGTGGCGACTGGTAAACATGATATCTATTTAGGTATTCAGAATTTTCTCTAGGATTCATTTTTCTCTCTGAACTACTATGAATATGAACTTGCAAATATTATGTAGTCTGTATTACTGTCAATATATAATAAAAAAAGATAATGTTATTACATACATTTTCTATTCTGTTTTGAAATAAAAGTCTTCAACTTTTAGTACTTCTAAAATACCCTTTTCAAGTATTATTGTTATAGAGAGCCGTTTTTATTTAAGTTTAAAAGTATTTATCAAATATGATGATTAAGTGACACAACATATAAGTACTTATACCACTTATTTAAATTTTATATTTCGATTCCCACATTTCTGCTGAAATATATTTTTTTTTCAGACAGACGGAGCACTGATTTAGGAGATTTAATTACAATAGCGTCAATTCAAAACGGTATTTCTCATTTTATAAATCAAATATCAGTGCACCGAAGTCCGTTACTATTGTAATATTTTCAATTCACGAGGCTGTAACTTATAAAAGGAATCTCTCGTCTGCACCCACCATAAGTAGCTTTATTATTGAAGGCTGTTTAGTGGCTTGTGGTCCAGCCTGCTCGTCTGTTACCGGCCGATAACACGAGGCACCAGAGCGCACAACCATTATGCCATCTTTATTGTCTAAGTAAATAATAGCATACAATTTCAATGTTCAATAACGAATATGCAAAAGTCATAATACAATGCAAATAGATATATGTGTCTGTTTATTGCGCTGAATTAAATGAGTTTTGTCACGAATATATATATATATATATATAACTAGACGAGAAATATAATAAATGCTTATTATATTTGATCAATATTACTCATACATTCACACTGATACATATATTGTTATTTATGTTAAAAAATTCACCAGTCCTAGGTGTTGGAGACGTGTCGTAACTAACCTTTCGTATTTTAAAAAGAAGAAGAACCTTTCGTATCGTTTTCATTCCTTAGTGTTATAAATCAAACCTCATTTCAGTTAATAATAAATAAATAATAATATTTAAATTTTATTGACAATGTCACATGTTATTGTTTTTCAATTCAATAAAATGTCTTCGTAGATGAACATCTAAAGTGTTATTTTTTGGTTAAAACGAGGCATAGTTCCTACAAGTAATAAATCCGAAGACCTGCAGGAACGTGAATTCACCACACTTAGATTCATATCACTAATTTTGCTCATATCGATAAAATTTTTATTGTTTTCCATTTATATTCTTTACTTTCTCCATCCTATAAACCTTCAATTTTATACCTGTAACCATTAAAATTCTGTAATATAAACTTATCCAAACCTTTACGAACTTTCATCCCATGTTTTTTACTACTTACACTAATGTGAACCCTTACCTGTAGCTTCCATATTTTTTCGTTATACATTTTACGAAGCTAATCATATTAAAGCACTTATTTATATAATATTACACAATTTATCGCTAATTTTAATTGTTTTGGCAGATTTGACATGAAAGTTTTTCTTCGTTGCTATGGTTATATTTGATACTTGATAATTGACTCATTGTTTGTCAGTTTTAGGCATTGAAACTCTGTAGTTATCGAAATTTTTAGGGTTCTAATTTGAAATCATTTACTTCCAAATTTGAGTTCATCTTCAGGTATATAAAGCCTCGCCCAAATAGTACTTGATCACTTCAACGGCAAAAGTTGCCCAAGTTAGCTTTTTAGAGCTCGTACAGAGCTAGCTAAATTCTTAAAAGGCCTATTTCCCGGGGCCGACTGCCCCAGGAACTCTTCAAAGTTACGGTCTCAAAGTCACTTGACACCATTTTGGCTGTAATTAAATATCAACAAATAAATACTAACAGTACTCTACTAAACCTCCTTCGCCTCCTTCAAGCATGGACGGATATACTTTCTCCTGAAGCTGTCTTCGAGTCTTCATCTGGAGGCCTGAGCTGCTGATCCGTTCCGGGCTACGAAGAACCATTTGCTCGATACATTGAGAGACGCGTTGTCGAGAAGGCGCTCCGCAACTTCACCGCTGACCTGTGCCCTATCACCATAACACCTACGCTGACGACGGATCTACGCTGACGCAACGGACTTCACCGCTGACCCACGCCCCTTCACCAGATCACCTACACTGACATTCTCACTCTCACTACTTCACTTCTCACCTCACCAGTCACCTCGTTCCTTTTATTTTATTTTTGTTTATTGTAAATAAATTATTTAATTTAATTTACCATCTTTTAGTTCATTTATTTATTCTTTCATAACAGACGGTGATTGGTAATTTTTTAAAAGTGTCTTGTGAATGAATGAAATATGATAATTTAATGTTTTAAAACTCAACCAAAATTTTAAAAATGTTATCGTTTAGCCAATTTGAAAGTTTTAATCTAAATAAAGCAAGCGTATGAGGTCACACTAAGTTTTACTCCTCGGTTGGAGTTTTGTATATTTTTTACAATAGCCAGTGGGTGGCGTGTGCGTCGTGCTCGCCTCGGGTATGGTTTTAATTTTCCGCCAGCACGGAGCTTACACGATCCGAATGAACCGTCTATTTTAATGAGCTTAAAAAG